TCTAAAGATCAATAACTAATAACATGTTAAAATACTGAGAAAAAACAAAGGACTTACTCTTTAGGGTGGCTTTTTTCAATACTTTCATGGCATACAGGGTGCCCGCATCTTTCCCAACTACCTTCCGCACAAGAAACACCTGAAAAGGAAAAACAAGAGAGATTCTTTCAAGATCAGGTCAAAGAATACGCCAACGCGCCACTACCCCTGGCAACAGACAGGAAGACTCACCTTGCCAAAGGAGCCCTGGCCCAGCACTTTGAGCAACTCGAACTGGGAGGGGTCCGCCTTGTCGTGGCCTTCCTTGACCACCTCGCCCAGCTCGATCTCGTGGGTCTCCGAGCCCATCAGCATGTCTTCCTCAGAGTGCTGGTCCAGGTTGTGCCCCAGGCCTCCGGGGCCCAGGGCGTGCCCGTCGACGGTGTCGCCGCCGACATGGCTGAGGCCGTCCGGCACCGCTTTGGCGACCGGCCCGCGACTGACGTGCTGCAACAACAGGAAAAGGAGACCGTCAGCGAGGTCGGGCAACAGGGCTCAGCGAAGCTACGCCGACAAGACGCCTGTCTCGGGCTTCAACTAATTTCCGCCCGGAATTGCAGGGCTCGGCCAAACGGTGAGGCAGACGCGGACAAAAGGATGGTGGGGTAGCGGGTGGGCAGAGGAGGGTGGAGGCTCAAAGGGAGGGCGACGAAACGCTCCCCGCCCACAACTGCCCCAGTCCCACACCGCTCGTCTGTCACTTCCAGTTTCCCCGGGCTCACTTCCAGAAGCTTCCAGGAGCTTCCAGATCTAGGATCAGCCCGGCGCCCTCGCCGCACTCGCAACTCGCACCCAATTTCAATCGAGTCGCCACCGCCATGAACCAGGAATGCTAATGTCTCGGCAGACTGGACCGAGGCAAGGGACGGGCGACGACGGGCCGCGTCCGGGGCAGCCACAACGGACAAGGCGGGCGGGGCCCCGGGCCGGGTCCGCCCACAAGCGCACATTCGGAGGCAGCCGCTCCCCTCGAGGCCCCCAAAACAAACCAAACAACCAACCATTAGCGAGCGGCAAGGGTACGGCTCTCCCTCGAGGGGAGAGGGCGAGGGGGGGGATTCAGGGGAGAGAAAAGGAGGGTTGGGGAGCGGGGCAATACTGCCACTGCCACTGCTGGGCTCCGATGAGGGGCTTCGTCTATTATTCACGTGGTCTCCTCCCTCCGGATGAAGGAGGGAGGGAGGGGGAGGGAAGGGGGAGAGGAGAGGGCGGCGGGAGAGCCAGCCAAGAGACGGGAGGAGGAAGTCGTAGAGGATTTAGGAGTAGGACGCTCCGGTGATGGACGCGGCAGAAGAGAGGGTGGAAGGAGGGGGGGGGCAGGAGGCAAATTTCCCCGAAATTAATGGAGCGCAGCAGTGGCTGCGACGGTCCGCTAAGCTCGGCCGTCACTCGGAACGGACCGTCCTCGGCGACGAACCGGTGGTGGCCGCGAGGAGCCACGGTGTAAAGGGACACTCTCTAAACCGTGCGGCGGACACAGCTGTGTCACTGTCAGCGTGGGGTTGGATTCATCACACCGACCGGGATGTGTCACCGAGTAGTGCGGTTTACCAACATAACAGGGCGTGTCAGCTTGAGGTGCGGTGCCTCGGGGGGTTGCATCTTGGGGAGTGCCTCGCCTCCTGGGGAGTGCCTTTGCCTCCTGGGGAGTGCCTTTGCCTCCCGGGGGGTGCCTTTGCCTCCCGGGGGGTGCCTTTGCCTCCCGGGGGGTGCCTCGCCTCCCGGAGGGTGCCTCGTGAGGATGTCTCCCGGGGTGTCAGAGTAGGTTCAACACCCGCCCGCTGCCGCCAGAGCCCTTGCTGAAACGGCCGCAGGGCATTACGCTTTGTTTAGCATGCAGCCAGCGGACGGGTCGGCGGCCTAAAACCCCTCAGGACAGGGGTCTCAGACTGGCGAGTGAGCGCGGGCCGCACCTCGAGCGTGCGAGAGAGAGGGGAGATGCCAGAGGCGGCGCGTAGCCCAGCGCGCTAG